ACGTTACCAAATGCAGCTGGACCATTTCGTACCCTACCCTCGGTTTCTAAGATTTAATTACTGCACATTATTGTTACTGACAGTTATTCCTACCGATCCATTCCTAGTCGATTTTATTATAGAGTCGTTAATGCTAAATGTTCTTCTGTAGTTTTCATACAATGGGAGCAGTTTTGGAACTTTCTCAGTCAAACGTTGGTAAATTATTTTTAGACATAAGGTCATCATATTATGTTTTATGCTATAAAATAACATATGTTTTTTATGTTATATATATTGATTTGAATATTGTACTGTATTTATTAAGAGGAAATTAACTTGTCACGGTTTTATCATAAATGCACCTACTAAGAAAAAAATGTTTTTTTACAATACAACCTACCTTGTACTATACAATTTATTTTATATTATATTATTATTATTATTATTATTGAAGTGAAACTTCTTTATCGGGGTTGGAAAAAAATTTAGTGTAACATTTTTTCGTTACGCGTCACATTTTTCGGTTACGCACCATGTTGCTTTTTGATGTCAAACTTCTTTATCGGCGTTGGAATGAAACTTCTTTATCGAGGAGAGGGAGAAATTTTGTAGCAAATCGTCACGTTTTTCAATGATAGTAATAATTCTATTACAATTAATGAAATTCTATAATAATCTTCGTAGTAATAAGGTAAAATGAAATATTTGTATTCATGTCTATGATAATAAAAGCCTTTTGTTAAACTTTATCTAATTTAACAAATTTCTGTAAAGTTGCATATAGTAGATCATTTTTCGAAAAATAAGATCATAAAGAAGTTTCACTTCTTACGTGTGTACACCTAGTACACGCACAATTTATTTTGTTTTAGCTTTTCCCATATTTATTAAAATATATAAAACGCTATTTATGTTAGACAAAAAGCTTTTAAAGTCCTTTAAGAAACATGATATACAGTAATATGGTCTTCCCAAATCCCTGTTGATCATGAATATCAAACGGGCATCACATTGGGGAGGTTATCTGATCCGGATTAAGCCGGTAAAAAGCGGTTATTATTCCGCCTCCCTGGACAAATGGGATTTTTCGTTTGGCCCACACCTCGGGGCATTGACGCAGGATTGTCACTGAACTGTGTGATTCGAATTTTTTGTATGAAAAAAATTAAGACAATCTAGGAATTATTGTGAAAAAACATTTTTTTATTCCGTGTTATCGCCACTTAAAATTAATTTGACACACTCTTTTTACTTTGTTTTGTCTTTAATTATCACAGCGTTTATTTGTATTAATAAAAAGTAGTATAAGTGTTATAAAAATAAGTGGAAAGCAGATACATTATTAATTGGATACAAATTGTATGCTTAAACTCTAGCTTGTGTGTATTTGTTATGAAAAATATGTAATCACATGTCTTATTTTAATGACTCATCTCAAACCGACTTAGTGCTTCGAGACGGTATATTTATACATAGAAATTAATATATACGTAAATATTTAGTTATGCTCACGTATTGCCTAATTACTGTTTGCTTATATATTTTAGATTTTTATATAAATTAAATAATAATACATACATACATACTACTTTTTCAGCCTTCTATCGCTCATTCAATGTATTTATTACTCTGTTCGTTTTGAAAGCCATAAATCTTACTATATTTTATTCGAAAGAGGAATAGACGCTTCAATATTTTTCTATCACCACTTCAATATATCATTTATTACTTTGTTAGTTAGAATTAACTTAAATAACTTTATTCGAAAGATAAAAAGGAGCTAAAATCTTTAAATGGGTCACGCAGCACAGCAAACAATTTTAAGCACAAAAACAGCTTTATAAAAGCTGTCGGCGATGTTATCTCCCAGTATTAGTGGTAATGGAACAGATACCATCTCCCGCTATCTTTGATCTCCCCTTATAACAGTTATTTGTCAAACTTGACAAGAGGATAAGATGAGAGAGATAAGTACGCTAGTTTAATCCACCAGCTGATTCTGTGAGTGTTCTTCCAATTCACCAAACGATTTCAAATCATAAAAATATAGAGCAGTCAAATTAAATTAATGAAATTTGCGTGAAACATTATATCTAATATTAATAATATAAGACTTGATATCTAATGATGTAACTTCTATTCTACCTTTTAAGACAAATTTGCTCGCTATTATGTGTGGTATTTAGGTGTACCACAATAACAGTTTTGTACGATATTCTTGCAAATAAATTATTATTACTATTATTATGTGAAAAAAGAAATCAATTCTTTGTTCTATTGTGTTATGATGAAAAAAATTTGTTTAAACTAAGGTCCGTTTCCACACTCCGTATCAACCAAACAAATATAATAAGCATAACGAATAGATTGTCACTCGTTTTATTTACACAATGTCATGCAATTAAATATTCAAAATACTTGAAGGGATTACTTAACATATGAATGTGTGTTTACAAGATAAATGGCGCGGTTGTGCGTGACCAACTTAATTAAAACTTAAATTTATTAGTTTGACTTAAAAAAATATATATTTAATTTAGTATGGTATTTTTTATAAACTGTTAACGTTGTTGGGCTTGCGCCTTTTAATACTCGGAGTAGGTAAAAAATTTAATGAAACATAAGATAACGTCTTTGATTTTATTTTAAGCTCATTGATTACAATTAATAATCAAAGGTCTGAGAGTCTGCTTAAAGGAATCCTTTTGCTTCAACATTTTTTTGGCCAAATTGGCAGGTTTATCTGATGTTAGAGGATACCGCTGCCCATGGACACTCTCCATGCCAGAGGGCTCGCGAGTGCGTTGCCGGTCTTTTAAGAATTGGTACGCTCTTTTATTGAAGGACCCAAGTCGGTTCGGAAATACTTCAGTGAACATCTTTATACAGTACTGAATTACTGATACTTGCCTATAGTTGTACTCATAAAGATTCTATATTATATTATTTAAACAAAAACGATTATAAAATTAACAACACATTTAACCTTTATAGCTCATTTAATATTTGTTCAAGGTCTTGCAATAAAAAATCGCATTAATTACAATATATAAGAACCAAAAATTCACGCCTTTGAAAATATTTTAGCAATATCACAAAGTCAGTAAACAGAAAAATGCAAATTAACATAGTCTACCAGCATGTCAAAATCCTAGGGAATAAAATGGGGTCGCTATTGTCCTCTAATAGCTCGGACTGTAGGGTGCAACCCCACCCCGGCACCCTTATGACGTACTTGCCACCCTCGTGTTACTATAAAGATTTATAGTAGAAATTTTAAAGTTATACTTAACCTAGAAAGAGTCAACTGAAGTAGTTCATAAATCTAGGACTTTCGGAGGAAAATTTGCCCTAAATATTATTATTATAAAATAATTTCGCATTTAGTATAACTATTTGTATTGTTGTGTTGATGACAGACCCGCTAAAAAAGTGCGTGCTACAAAGTATACATGTCAAAAGTGAAACTTCTTTATAAATTAATTATTACTAAGGTAGAAGCCCGAATAGATGAACATGTACCAGTATATTATCACCCCATGTATTTGCATATCTATATTTACTCACTGTATACGTGCTAATGATCATATAAATAAATAAAAATCTGCGTTTACTGCACAAGACGCTATGCGACAGAATTGCCATTGCCATCTAAATATGTAACTACTAAACGAATACATCAACCAATAGCGTGTATTTTTCTCGATCTCCCTTACTATCTGTCTCAATCTTTCTCACTATAGCTCTCTCCCACCTCTCGCTCCATGGCACTGTGCGTGATGCAACGTTCGCTCTATCTCACACTCTCTCTCGATGTTTCTCACTTGCTTGCTCCCTACTCTCGCTCCATGGCTATTTGCTTAATGCTACGTTCGCCCTTTCTCACTCTCTCTCAATCGGTCTCAATCGCTCTCTCCCTTTTCTTCGACAAAAACGCTGCACATCTTCGTGACGCTAATATTATTATTATTGCGTTTCAACCGTAAGCATTTTTACCTTCATGCGCATAAAGAAGTTTCACTTCAAAAATAAACTTTATTTTCGCCTTATTCGACCTTATAGAACTTTTATTATTCACAAAATACCCTAAGAAATGTTGTTCCTAGCAAACACTTCATTTTATTTTCATATTATGATTAAATATGTTAAATAAATATTTTTTGTGTGGAAACTTATTAAATTATGCCTACATTATATATAAAACCTTCTTCGTTTTAGTTAACCTCCTTACAAACCCTGGCAGTCGAGACATTTGAATCAAATTTCAAAAAAAGAAATTTTATCGTGGAATGGAACAATTTTGAAGTTTTTACAATAGATCTGAGCTGCCCATCAGACGGGCGCTGATTTGTATTTTTTTATCAAAATTTCAGTTCCATCAAAATTTTTGTAAAACTGTTTTAGTTTAATTTACACGAGTTTTTTTATATATTTTTACATCGGATCTACCAAAATTCCTAGTATCTATGATGGTAAGTACTTTAAATAATTTATTTAGCCCAAGGATAATATATGCATAGCTGTAATTCTACAGGACCTGTGTTCATGGCTCCTGTGACAAAATTTTCGTATATTTGTACGTTCTTTCTCTGTAAAGAAAGTTTGTTGTAAAAGCTAACTTCTATACTGTCTTCATTATGGAACTGTTACCAATTTAGTTACTATTATAATTTCTTATTTGCTTTGGCGTTATTCGAAACACATTACCACTAGGAAAAAGAGAAAAGTTTTTCAACATTTTCTTTTCATTGACATGTTAGCTTTATTGACAACGTCAATTGAATCGTTAATTGTTTATAAAGTATTTTTATATAGTATTTGTGGGTCGAGATCGATAGTTTGACATCAAATTATATTTTGTTAGCTACCGTCCATGAGAACCATTGCTTTGAACCACTCGTTATTCTATCTTGGTAATTGACATTGGATCTCGTTTTACTGTCTTTAAAGATAAGTTTGATTGTGTCCTTGAGCAGAGGGAGTGCATCTCAGTCCACGTGGGTCAGGCGGGAGTGCAGATGGGCGTAGCCTGCTGGCAGCTGTACTGCTTAGAGCATGGCATCCGCCCAGATGGGACCCTGCCTTTTTGTGAGACCGACGTCAATCCTTCGGACTCCTGCTTCAATACGTTCTTCTCGGAAGCAGACCGGGGCAAGATGGTGCCCAGGGTTGTGATGGTGGATTTGGAGCCTACTGTAATCGGTAATGCACCGTTGCTATGAAAATTAAAAATACATCTATCATATTTGTTTGGAAAATTTTACAGCGAATTGGGGCGATAGAGGCCAAAAAAAGGGTATTAGTACATAAATATTTGATAGATTTTGCGATGGCGTTTAATACTTTCTAATTCATGGTTGACAAATTAAATTTAGCGCATATTGTCAGTTTGACATTCGACGATTTTTCAGAAATAACATTTATTGACATTACAAGTAGCTCCTGAAACGAAACTAAAACTAAATCTTATGTCCAGATGAAGTACGATCCGGTGAGTACCGACAGCTTTATCACCCGGAACAACTAATTACTGGCAAAGAAGATGCAGCTAATAACTACGCACGGGGTCACTACTCTACAGGACGAGAGGTCCTGGGTCCGGTTATGGAGAGAGTGCGAAAACTGGCTGATCAGTGTACTGGATTACAGGTAGGAATAATTTACTTTACTTAGGCCCCTTTGGATTAAGAGAATAATAATAAAAGCCCGTTTAATTTCTAATCATCACAAAAAAAAGAGTATACAGATTAGATTTTTTACATTTTTGTTTCTTCCTAATTATATCCTAGCTATCGTCACTACCGTAAATTGGAACCCCTTCACGGGTAAAGGCCTCCTCCAGCTTTTTCCAACTGTCTCTGTCCACGGCTTCCTTTCTCCAGTCGCTTCCTGCTACCACTCCTATTTCTTTTATCCACCTTTTATTTGTGCAAGTACGGCAATACTGGTTGAATCAGGCCTGTTTGCAAACATAATATTCAGAAATCGTCTGTTATCCATCCAATCTTGGAGCCGGGTTGGCCGTCTCATGTGTGTTAAAATCCAATGCGTTTCTGATAAGGATAGTCAGTGTTAGTTGCGTCGTTTTAATCTAAGATTTGGTTTATTAGAATAAACTAGTGTTTTTTTAGAAAATATTTAATTTATCGTTTACCGGGCGATATGGGCTCTTTGACGTCCTTTTCTACAAAAATCTATAAGTTCCATTATACTGTTAGATTAACGTAGGGGTGTAAGTATGCTTTCCGACCTAAACTCAACGCGGTTCACTGCCGATAATTGAATCCACGGCTTTAGGCATGATTCGCAAAATTCACTACTGAGTTTATAGCTAGCTTATTTGAAATTATGTAATTGCATTTGCGGTGTCAATATTTCAGGGCTTTTTCGTTTTCCACTCGTTTGGCGGTGGCACAGGCTCAGGTTTCACATCATTACTCATGGAGAAGCTTTCTGATGAATTTGGCAAGAAAAGCAAACTGGAGTTCGCTATCTACCCAGCTCCACAGGTAATAAATATTATCAGCACACAGGCCTCTACGTGGCAGTTTTTGATCAGAAGAATTTAATTGAGATTCTAGTTAAACCCAGGACGGCAGTATTGTGATTTTCAATTGCGCGGAAGCAATTGTACTCCAGACTAAACATTTTAGTTTTTTTACTGAGCGATTCTATGTGTGACATCAGTGCGACGGATATTGAGAGAACTATATCAGGATTGCATACCAAAATGTCGGAATTGGAATATTAATTGATTTTAATTTTTTATTTAAAGCATAGAAATGTTTACATACTGACATATAAGCAGAAGCGACTACATTATACTGGAGGACTCGTAACAGATATAATAATATAATGATTCACGGTACACTGCCATTGGACAGGTTTATGTACCTCAAGTAATAGTATTTAAAAATTTTGGTCATACATCAAAGTCAAAATCATTTATTCACTCCATCAGCTGCCGCAAACTCACTACCTTGAAGACTTATTTTTTTCATGCTTTACAGTTAAAAGCCGTTATGCCAGCACGTGCAGTTACGCGATTTATGCTAAATTCAAAATATAATCGAATAAATTATATTTTAAAACCGGTCTATAATAATATTAATAATATAATATAGAAATAATGTTTAATCAGTTTTTATCTACGTCAGTTTACGAATTAAATATTCAATGTCAGATATCGGATATTTGTAAGTTCAAGGTCTAATAAATTGGAATTAGAATATTGTTAATTAGTTTTGTGAATTGAAATGTTTTTTCTGTAGAAAATACTAATAACAAAAAGGCTTAATTAGAACATTGTGTAATTCAATTTATATTTTTGAATGTATGTTTTTAATTCGGATTTGAAGTTAATCTAAGTCTTTACATTTAGATTCGTTTCTTGAATAAAAAATTTGTTTATTTCAGTACTTTTAAGTAAATTTATTACGAAACCCAATCTTAAAATGTTGCTCAAACTCAATAGTAAATTTGGATAACTTAGTTACAGGGTAAGCATGCTGACTTCATTGTAACGATTTAAATTTACAGGTGTCTACCGCAGTAGTGGAGCCCTACAACGCAGTATTGACAACTCACGCGACAATCGGACATTCTGACTGCGCGTTTATGGTTGACAATGAAGCTATATACGACATTTGTAGGCGACGACTTTCGATCGAGAGGCCATCGTATGCCAATCTAAATAGGCTTATATCACAGGTATTTATTTATTTAGTTATTAGGCTTACGACATCACACACAATACTTAATCTACTAATTATTAATCTACTAATTATTTTACAAAAACGTACATCTAAAATGTGTGACAATTAACGTAAACACAAGTTTCACAAACAAAAAATAGAAATTTTAAATTTTAAAAATACAATTAAAACATACAAGGTTTTAAGAATTTTGTAGAACTCAGATACCATATCATTAACATTATCATGAGCGCGTAGGCTATCATTCCAATCAATGGTTATCAGATCCCCTATAATAGACACATAGTCAGCTTTATAAAAATTTAGTTGAATATTCAATACTTAACAATAAACTAGGATGATTCGCGTATATTTTACTTAACTAGTCGGATGGGGCTGATACATTAATACTAGACATATTACTTAATACTAAATACAATAAACGATCATCGCTATTACCTATACTATTAAATTGTATAGGTAATAGCGATGAGGTATATACCTGTAACATCTGCAGTACATTAATAGAAAAACAGTTAACTGAAACACGAATGTCGAATATCTGTGGTTGTTATTACGAAATATACACAAAACACTAAACATATAAAACGCCGGGTTATAATCTATAAAAACATGAACGAACCTATAGTTGGGAAAGGCCATTAAGGCTTATGTTGAAACAAATTATGCAACCCATGTATTAGGTACTATTCCAGTGTCGTGATAAAATATTGGTTTTAAAGTTGTTTTTGTTATTAATAAATAAAATAAACTCAAAACGGTTTCTTTCATCGATTTCTAAAAGCATTGGGATAGTTTTGATGAGTAATGACTTTAGGTGGTATCTTCAATCACGGCCTCACTGCGATTCGACGGAGCTTTGAATGTGGACCTGACGGAGTTTCAGACAAACTTGGTGCCATACCCGCGGATACACTTTCCTCTCGCTGCCTATGCGCCGGTAGTCTCTGCTGATAAGGTAATGCTCTATGTAGATAAATGTTATTTAGTATAGACTCAAATGAGCTAAAACCAAGAAAGGTCCAGAACTCTGTACATGCTGTCATCAGATTTTGATGATTGTGACGCCCTCTTTAGAATTTAGTTTAAATTTAAATTTCCATTCCGTAGAAAATGGTTCCAAAAGTTTTTGTATTAACCACCATAAAGCTTTGGTATAAAATCAAGATAGAACATAAAGGCAATAATATTATCACATTAGGTGTCTCAATTCCAGGCATACCACGAAGGGATGTCCGTGTCAGAGATCACGTCGGAGCTCTTCGAGCCCCAGAATCAGATGGTGAAGTGTGACCCAAGGGACGGCAAATACATGGCCTGCTGTTTACTGTACCGTGGTGATGTGGTTCCAAAAGACGTGAATGCGGCCATAGCGGCCATGAAAGGAAGAGCTGGGATACGATTTGTCGACTGGTGTCCTACTGGCTTCAAAGTGAGTGAGATCTAAATGCAATTTTCCAAATAGTACGTATCAAGTTATGCGCTCTTTGATATTCTTGCGTTAAAGATGTGCATGCAATGTATAGAATTTATATTTATGTTTAAAAATAACAGATAACCACTGCGTGAAGGTTTTCCAATGGCAGTCCTTGTCTTTATATATTTGGGAACAAAACAGATACATCTCTATAAAAAAATAAAGTAAAAAACAAAACATAAAGTAAACACATTGGATGTATCCACAAACAGTTTCAGTGATAAAAAATAAGATACAAAGCAAAGCAAAACAAAACATGACAGAACAAAATTTATAAATCCGGAGAACGACAAACATTCAAGTAGCTATAATAAAGAAGAAAGATACAAGGATTAGGACATTAATACTTGTTTTAAATTATTCTTAATGAAGCAGTAGACTAGTGCGAAAAAGGGACGATGTTTCATGTTAGTGGCAGAATCCAAAGTAGAACATCTTTCAAAAATATGTTTATTATGGAATATGATACAGGTCTCACTTATTCCACGTTATTAAATTATTAATCCCTACTCATCGGCAAAGAAAGAGGGTGTAGGCCAACAGAAAAAGTCGGCGTAAAAAACTCTCGGTACCATTTTAAAATGGCAAATCATCAAACTCTTATTTTAAAACAAATATCGCAAATTAATATGTAGAAGTAGTCAGCACTAGTCCCAGGCCCTTTTATCAACTAGAACTTTATATTAAGCCTTTTTACACAGCTTTTTTTTAATACATCTCTTAAATTTATTAAAAGGCAGAGATAAAAGAGCCTCTGGGATTTTATTAAAGAAGAGTATGCCTTTTCCCAAAAAAGAATTACTAGGAAATTGCAGCCTGCGTTTTTTCCGAGTATTAACATTGTGCGTATGTTCTATTCTAGTAAACTTATCACTATTTTTGTGTATGTATACATAATATTTTCATAAATATATTGCGAAGGAAAGGTAAGTATATTAATTTCCTTGAATTTATCTCTAAGAGTTTCCCTACATTTTAAATTATAGATTGCACGAATAGCCCTCTTCTGCAGGATGAAAATTGTTTCGACATCAGCAGCATGACCCCATAATAATAAGCCATAAGTCATTAAGCTGTGAAAGTAACTAAAATAAACAAGTCTAGCTGTATCGACATCAGTTAGTGAGCGAATTTTTTTAACCGCAGAACTAAGTTTTAGTTCTTAAGTTCTAAAGTCTCAGAAGAAGCCATGGCTGTCGGGTACACGTGCGCTATGGTCTTCCCATGCTGGTATTTCGTAACTACGTAAGAATACTAATCGTATATAATTACAAAATATACAATTCATAAAATGTTAGTCATTTAAATACAAAAAACAATCAACTATATTGAAAAGGTCAATAGCATAAGGTTAATAACCAAATATATGTGTAGTTCAAAAAAATTACTATGAATTGTTAATGAGTAAACTATTCGAGTGATTTACGTCACTATATACGCTAGTCCTTGAGATACAATTGCTAGTAACGAAAATGTTTTTTTATTGATGTTCATAGCATTATTCATCATCATCAATGGTTATACAGCCCCTTGTGGGCCTTAGCCTCCTCAATTACACTTCGCCATCGCAATTTATCTAGTGCTTCCCGCGTCCAATTGCGAACCCCTATTGTTTCGAGGTCCTTGACAACTCCATCTCACTAACGCAGCCTCGGTCTACCGGGTTTTCTTTTGCCACCGGGTTGTGAGTTTAGTAAGGACCTTTGGGTTCTGTCGTTCGCCATTCGATGCACATGTCCCAGCCACTTGACTGCACTTTATGAATTGGACGATGTTGGCGTCGTCTAGGATGTTATAAAGTTCTTCATTGTAGCGGATACGCCAAACACCGTCGTTGCAAACAGGACCAAAGATTCTTCGAAGAATATTCCGCTCGAAAATAAGGAGAGAGATCTCGTCTTTCTTGCTAAGGGGCCAGGTTTCAGAACCATAAGTGAGCACTGGTCGCAGCAGAGTTTTGTACAGAACAAGCTTGGTATTCTTCTTGAGAAGTCGCGATTGGAAATATCTGCGAAGGTCGAAGTAGCTGCGGTTTGCCATCATGATGCGTCTACTGATCTCTCGACTGGGATTGTTATCACTAGTCACGATTGAGCCCAAGTAAACAAACTCCTCACATTGTTCAAAGCTTACATCTTCCACGACAAAGGGATTTCTTGCTCCGAATGGTGTTGTCGTCTTATACTTTGCTTTTTCCACATTTACTGACAGGCCCATAGAACTGGCTGATTTTCGGAGGCTTTTAAAACATTCCGCTAATTGGTTTTTGCTTCGTGTGACCAGATCCAGGTCGTCTGCATACCCCAGTAATTCATAACATTATTATACCCCTAACTAAAAAAATAAACACATATAAAATTGGCATTATCATTAGTAAAGTTACTATCACAATTTCAAATTTACCTACTATGGATGTTAGGTGCCTATAGTAGAATTCAAGACGAAATAATAAACGATAAATTTGTTTAATTTATGTTTGTCTTCTAATTTATTTCGTGAACGCGGTTATAAATTAAAAAATAATCAAAATTGTTTAGGAACTTTGCGTACAAAATTTGAAAGTGACTAAACTGTGGTAATTCTTAGAAACTGAGCTAAAATGAGTTCTGACATGACAAATTATTATTCTTTGTGATTTATATATTTTAATAAATGTGTTTTCTGGCACAATTTTACCATATTTTCATAAATTAAAATTTTAAAATATTTTTTTCTTTAAATTATTTTTTGACCACAAAGGGATTGAGCTCCAAGATATAGGAACACCTCTGTATTCCAAATAAAACATTTCATTTTTGTTGTTTATAATATTTACTCAACACTTTTAAAAACGAATCCTAAGTTTTATTTTAAAACTAGGTAATTAGTGGTCTCTCTCTCCGCCTCTCATTAACAGGTGCTGTAATGCACACGTAAGGGTGAAATTCAGAGACAAGAGTTGGCTCGAAGTACGACTCCCGAATGTGAAGATCTATTACATAACTTAACTTTGGATGTCTTAAGCTCAAAGTTAATTATCCCATAAGTTTAACTCCGAGCGTGAAGTCCGTATAGAAATATAGTTATTTTTCCAGGTTGGTATAAATTACCAGCCACCATCAGTGGTGGCGGGAGGAGACCTTGCGCAAGTGAAGAGAGCTGCGTCGATGTTAAGCAACACTACGGCTATTGCGGAGGCCTGGGGCAAGCTCGACAACAAATTCGACCTTATGTACTCCAAACGGGCCTTTGTGCATTGGTCAGTATTATCGAACCCACTAGGGTCAAACATTAGTAAATATCTTATTTATTAGTAATCTTACAGCAAAAACAAAATATTTAGACAATATACAAAGTCAAAACAGATAACATAGAAAAACAATATAGAGAAGCACCATTTAGGCGTCTTGCGCACCCTAAATGTTATTGCTTGTGAGACGGATGTATTTAGTTGCAAACTGGCTGAATTCACAAGAATTGCATTATTTATAATTAGTTAAAAGGTTTTAAGTTTTTACTTGTTGTGTTTATATTATGTTTTTAGTTTCGTTTTTTATTGTATTAGTATTAAGTTTGAAGTTGACTAAGTGATGTATCGGAAGTTGATATTAACATATACACAATATTATATTGTTTATATATTATATCAAGTCTCGTAGGCCAACTCTACATAAGGCATATGTTTAAAAAAATGTATAGAAAAAATAAACGAAAACGTTTATACAATTTGACAAATTTACAATTTTTTTTGGTATATTGCTCGTTTTGTTTAACTCGGTGAAGTAATGTATAACCTACTAGTTAACTTGTTGGAGTCAGTAGATAGTACCGGTGACCCCAGAGCTGGTGATTTCCTCACTCAACGAATGTCGCAATCGCAATGTAGCGAGGAAATGCTGCCAGCGTTAAAGGTATACTGCCGGACCAAAGTTTTTAAAATTGTTTTAATTTTCTTTTTATTATTTATACTTATTTTTATTATATGTAGGTTAAGAAAATTGTAAATACTGTATATTTTATTGTTGTGTTTAGGTTTTAATAAACATTTACCTTCTAGTTAATAGTATAGTTGTATCTTGTTGCTTCAGGTACGTCGGCGAAGGCATGGAAGAAGGCGAATTCACAGAAGCGCGGGAAGACTTGGCGGCACTTGAACGTGACTACGATGAAGTAGCCATCGAAACATCGGACATGCCGCCCGGTTGTGACGACGAACTATGACGTCATTGTTAAAATTGTGACGTTACTTCCACGCGCTCACCGTTCGACACGTGCTTACGAACACTTGCAACGAATTTGCGTTGCCCTTTGACATTTGCATTTTGCAAAGATTACCTGCTTTCTGCAATTATTTTGGCTCAAAGGTTGATTGTAGGTAATTTAGCAAGCGTAGCATAATTGGGCAGTAATAGAGCGTCGACGGCAAAGCGGACGCCAGAAAACCGCGGCCCTTTGGTTATAATGTTAATTATGGCAGCACTTGTTGAAATTTTATTAAAGGTTCGAAAATGTCCGCCGAGGTCGGGCGATGCTCAACTTGCCTCATGTCGATATTCTAGTCTATGGGTTATAACGACCTCTTATAAAAGGATGTTTCTCCCTCTTTTCTCTTTTCCTCATTTGGAAGCACATTCTCGATTAATAAATATTGGATTTTGAGCCGTGGGAGTGCTTATATTGTAAGCGTAATTGTTTTGTATGTCTGTTATCGTGTTGTTAAATTTTTAAAAAGTTTTGTCTGTTTTAATAAATTTATTTACTTTCAATAACTTGGTTTTATAATCTTAAATCTATAGCTTATTGCTAAATTTAACATTAAATAAATTTGAAAACGTTATAATTTAAAACGTATTGTATATTTTCAACAACATTTTAAATTAATTGAAAACTGATCCCAAGAAAGTCACCTTGTGATTCACAAAAAAATATGCAAATTAAACCGTCTCTGCGTGAGACGTAACAACCAAAACACGTTTTTTTAATCATACTAATTAAATAACGTATACAAATATGATTTACAGCTACTAGAACGGGCTTAGCACAAACAATACGGAAAATCAAATGGCTTTCGTAATATAATAAATAGATTTTTGTATTTTTACGTTATTTACCCATTACGGACTCCGTAATACTCGTAACGATGATTTTCATATAATATGTGCTTCCACCAAAGCGGAGCGGAGTGAGCGAGTTGTCTCGAGAAATGTGCTCGACTCATATGAAAATGAAGAGGAATTTTCAAACACTGCAAATAATTCCCATATCAGAAAAACTTATTTAATGTCTTCTAGTCGAGCACTTTTTTCGAGATGACATAAAAAACGAGTGGAGCATGACGTACATACCCGAGCGGTAACGCAAGTTCGGCTCTGTACATCGAGAGCAAACAACGTATACGGCGAGAGAAGGTTGAGGTATTTGCTACCGCGGCTAATAAATGGTCAACCCAATCACATATTAGATATATAGACATAAACAGCAAATTAAAAAACTACTTTTATATGCATTTGTCGCGCTCCTAAACAAGACTGCTATGGTTACATTAATAAAAACCACAGCGGTTTTCTAATGTAACTTATTATGATTGTATTATATTTTTTTTGTAAAATAAAGATATTTAAAAAAAAAACTCCAAAAAGTTGAAAGAGTCACATACGAGGTTAGCGAGTTTCCCAAGGTGTCATACAATTACTTCCTCTGCAAAAGAGTAAAGCAGAGAGTAGCAATCGAGTGAAGCGGAGTCCGATGCGTATGCTCTTGAAAACTAGTTTTGAACGGAGTCGGAGGCCTTCCTCGAATGCGAATATGCTTTTATAGTGTGATACATTAGTAAGATTTTATTCACTAGAAGAATCTGACATAGTTGTCAGTGGAAGGCGAAATAAATTATTTTAGAAACTCTTAGTGGAAGGTAAAAATTATTATCATTTCAAACTCCGTCCCGCCGGTCACTTACGCAGTGGAAGGCGGGCATAAGACTTCATGGAGGCTGTTTGAAAAGAGCGCTTTAAAATGCCTATCGTTTCCTAGCTCTAAACGGAAGCACATCGTTCCAATATAGTGTAGTAAACTAATCGTATTGTATGGAAAGTCTATACGAATACTCGAAACCGTCGTAGTTCACGCTAGGGCCTCTGTAGCTCCATAGTTTTAAAAAACATTCATAAACATAACGTTATATTACTGCTCATATTTGTATGATTATTTTTCCGACCCAAATATCGACCAATAGAATTGCACCATTCGACGTCACGTCGTACAACCTACATGGTATTATACTGATTATTTTTCCGACCCAAATATCGACCAATAGAATTGCACCATTCGACGTCACGTGGTACAACCTACATGGTATTATACTGATAATTTTTTGAAAATTTTCTGTGGTAGTTGCTTCAAGAAAAGTATTAAGTAGTTGTTTTATTCATTATGAAATTCTTATTTGTTAACTGTACATTTCGTCTCATGGTGCAATTCTATTGGCCGACATTTGGGTCGGAAAAATAATCCCCCGAATACCACACGAGCTTCAAAATTATCTGGCATTTCCCTCAAGGTTCCCTGCAAACAAATAAACAAACAAACGAACCTATCGGGAAATACCCGATAATTTTGAAGCTCTTGTGGTATTATAAGTGAAAAATCGACTAGTGTTCAAACCTAATAATTTTCATAGAAACGTGAAATTTTGTACGTTATAAAATATATTATAATAAAGGTCTATCTGTATAGTAATCCTACACTTTTCGTGGTGGTGGAGACTCTGACATATTCGGTGTGAGCGACAACCGCCTAATGTTAGGCTTATCATACTCCTCCATAGACATGGCGCGAGACATCCGCCGCTCTACTCCTGGTGGGGGAAGGGATGTCAGTAGTCCTTGGCCTTGACAGAAGAGGAGCAGGGACTGGGCGACCTTGGCTGGCTGAAATGAAATCATATGAAAGCATTACTAACTTAACTATATATAGGATGAAGTCCCACAGACGTTTCATGATGTGTTTGCGCCTGTTTTCTGTCTTCGATTTTAGGAATGCCAAGTACCGGTGGATGGATTAAATTTGGGGTTTCTCCTGCTTAATCAAAGTAAATAAAAACGCCTACAAAGTGCCTTCAAAGTTCTATTCTTATGAGTTCGAAGACAAACTTTAGAGAAACCTTTTAAGGTTTTTTAAGGTTTTTTATGTTTATATTACGACCGCTGCCGTCACCTCCATAAGGAAGGGCATCGGCGTTATATAGACAATTATTTGAATTATTCCAATGACATCCAAAGGACTAACTTTGAGATCATTTTTATATGTGATAGGAATTTAATATGCACAGTATATTATGACAGAAAATGTATAATTACATACATTCATCGCTAAGTAATAACTGGTAAAGCTCATAATAATGATACAATATCTAAAAAAGATTAGATTTCTTCCAAAAATAAACTGCAAGGCTAGGTTTTTGACGCGTGTTTGTTACGAAGTATGTACGTGTTACTGAACGTGTTAGTGATATTTATTATTCCGTTGACATTGCTCTTTTTAAATCAATTATATCAATTTTACCAACTTTACTTTATTACCGGTTTGTTCATTCAAAGCGATTTACCTGAAAGTGGATTTGATTTCCGGATTTCTGGATATATTTACCTATTAAATTACTTTTTACCATTATATTCTTGGAACTTATATACACATTATATCACTGAGAGTTGATAATTAGGAGTTTATAAGTACTTAGTAATTTGCGATTAACTAACGTTTCTAAGTGTAAATTATGTTACCTACAATATTTTTATGTAATATATCCTTTAAACTATATATAATTATCTTATGATTACATAATTAATATATGTAACAATAAGTCTTGTCGAGACAAATAAGTGAAAATAACTTAATACCGTAAATAATATTTGAGATAAAAATATTTCTCAGAACAATGATATTTTAAACAGCTTGTCTATTTGAGCAACTTAAACTTTAAACAAAGATAGAATTCTCTATATTCTTAGTTTTTCTTATCGCAGATAGCCTAAAAGAGATAGATAATTCACACTAAGGGGGCATAGTACAAACGAAAAATATATGTCTGTGTTTAATGTTTACTTGTGTGTCATAAATTATGAATAAAATACACTGAATTGAAACGTTTATTTATCACAAATTTCCAATATTTAAAATTATAAATGTGGACATGCTCGCTTAAATAAAATACATTATTAATAACATCGTCGTAGATTATTATTAGAAACAACATTTCTAACTAACAACGCCAAGAAAATAAATATTATTGTACACCTCACTTAATTGTTGATACACAAAATAACTAATTACCATTAGCATAACTATTAGCTTTAGTTACATACAAATTAAGTAACCTACACCATTACTAATTAGCTCGGGTCCTGTGCCTATACCATTCGTAATTACTACGAATCGTTTTTTAATAAAAATAGCCGGGCGTAAAAACACTAGTTAACTTAAAGGTTGTAAACACTGGTACACTTCGTCTTGATCCATTTTCACTAAGCGAATAGATTCCTCCCAAAGTTGTACAGCGATTTTGTCATCATACCCCGCTTGTTTGGCTCTAGACAGTTTGCAATTTTTGAAAAATTGACCGCTAACTTCCCCTGCTTTCTTATCCAACGCCACATGGATCGCGGTCTGTGCACCTTCCCAGGGTGTTTTGAAGAAGTTCTTGAAGAAGTAAGTAATGATTCCGCCTAAGAACCAGCCCACGCAGTTAAATATAGGAGTACCAACTGCTCCAGGGTCCACACAATTAATTACAACGTTCTTGTTGTTTAACCTCTTTGTTAACTCGTGTGCGAATAGAACTAGACACAGTTTGCTGTTTCCATAACATTGTATGCCGTACCAGTAGTTTAAACGATTTATGTTCGTAAAGTCGACTACACCGATGTTGTGAAGAACCGATGATGTATTCACGACACGCGCGGGCTCTCCTGGTTTACCAGTCTTCAGTAACAACGGAAGTAAGAGGATAGTGAGTAGGAAACTACCAAAATAATTAACTTGCATGATAAAATTCATTCCATCCTTCGTGAGATAGTCAAAACCGACACCAATACCGGCGTTATTCACTAGGATATCCAAACGTTCCTCAGTTTTAAGAATCTCGCTGGAGAACTTCCGTATCGATGTTATAGACGATAGATCGAGTAGTTTGAAGATCACTTTCTCATTTCCAGTTCTCTCTATAATATGTTTACGTCCGTTAGTACCTTCATCTATAAAGGGACAAGCAACTATAACCTTTGCGCCTCTACTCGCAAAATCAGTAGCTATCCGGAGGCCCATACCGGAAGTCCCACCGGTGACGATGGCCGTTTTCCCTTCAAGATTCTTCTTCGACTTGCACAGAACATTTGTGTTCTTCTGCCACAGTCCGACTAGGACCGCGACGATCGAAGTTATAAAAATAAAATAAATCAGCCCGAGCATTGCTATACGCTCTATGGTTGGATAATGAATGGTTAATAATTTGAAATGTTTGAGTTGATACTGTGACAACATACGTAGTTTTTAATTATTTCGTCTCGTAATCCATGATTCATAAAAAAATATGAATATGTTTACGTTTAGAGTTTGTTACGTCATGTAAACATTACTTTCACTCGCGGTGGTCGGTTCTACTATGACTTGTGATCGGTATACACGGGCCTCGGTTGCAGCGATACTGATGCGTTTGATTTCTTGCACTTAAGCAATATCCGACGATGAAACTAACTTGTGTATATTTGCAATCGGGCTGTTAATTATTAAGCCTTGAAATTCGAGTAACCGATTACTTAGTACATTTAAGTAACGCGATAACAGTTTAAATGTTAAATAATGATAAGTTCCGCAAATCATTGTTTTCTATATTTTAAGAATATAGAGCCAATGATAAGAATATTATCTATTAAAGGATATTATTGTTAATGGATTAGCTGATGTTTTAAATGATTGACATTTTTATTAATACATAGTATTATGGACTTGAAAATCATTGCAATTTTATTTTAAATAATATATAATTACTGTGCGTTACTATGAGTTTTTGAAGATAATTGATAATTCTGTAGCCGTGATAAACCAATGAAAAATTTATGACACTAGCGAGGTTTCAAGAATTAGATTGACACGGGAACGCAAATCAAATCTAAAGCTTAATAATATCCCAAAATAATATACTATTTATAGTTACACCTCTAAATTATGAAGAGGCAGACAACAGGTTGTAAAACTCAAGTACTTACAGCTTCAGCAAGAACATCGCCAACTTTCTCGATCTTCAGAATCGTCACTTTATCTTTGTCCAATTCCTTGTACATTTTTTCCACGACGCTCATGTACGGACTCAGCATACCAGTTATGAGGAGAATATCAGGTCGACACCCTCGAAGTATCAGGTCTTTGCGGCTTAAAATCAAAATAATTTCGTTAACGTCAATATTTACGAAGCAAGTTCAAGTACGCCCTGCCGTCCGGAAGTAGGTAGTCATATATTTGTATGCTTCCGCGTATCGACATATATTTTTGCGTTATGAAAACACGTTTGTTCACGGCCCTTCCAAATACATTAAAGTAATCTGTTAAATAACCATACTTTTTTTAATAGTTAACGGAGAACTCAGCACTTCCTGAGTTCAATAATTTAAAGTAAATAAATAAATTCTACAATAATTAAGACTTAATGGCCCCTTTCCCTAGACTTTCTCTTTTCTGTGTACTTTTATAACGACAATGAACGTCTATGAAGATAATAAGTGGTTGTATAAGTATTAATTTTAACTGCCGGAAATAAATGTATGTACCATAATAACACGTAATATTGTGGATAGTAGTTTGTTACGTCAATACTATATAAATTGGATACTCTTTATATTTAAAAGAGACATGAGAAAATGTCCTTCCATAGGACAATTCGTAAAAACCTAAAGAAATTGTTTAATAATGAGCTTATCAAATCGAAACCTTAAAATCTATATATATAAAAGTGTTATGTTGGTTTGTGTACGCTTCAAAAAATTAAAAAGTTCTTGTACCGACCGAGTAAAATTTTAACATGATATATATCCATCCGCATCAAGGATTGTTTTTATCATTTTTTTTTTTTTTTTTTTTTTTTTTACAAGTGTTGCAAAATTAAACTCATATGAAAAGTTTTCTTTGTTTTGTTTCTCATTCTCAAACATTCAATCACTATTTGCCACAACGAAGCGTGGCAGGGAACAGCTAGTATTTTATATTATTGTTAAAATAGGAAAATTAAATTGTCAAGACTAAACACACAGATGGGATTAAGTATATGGTTGATTTTTTTTAAACTTATAATTTTTTTTGCCTTGAATTGCCTAGGATTGCCTTGAATTGCCTTGAATTGCCTAGGATTGCCTAGCAATTCAAAGGATTGTATAATGTATATGACTGCCTAGGATTGTCTGGGATTGCCAATTCTGATTTGGATAGATACATGGTACACTTATCATGTAATTCTGACACTTACTGTATAAACGCTCGCACATACTGCTTGATATTGTGTGTATTGAGATTCCCTCTCAATCGAGATCTGTATTCTGCAAGCATTCTCTCCCTCTCGGCCGCCTCACAGGCGTCACTTGATATTTGCTAAAAACAAAAATAAATGTAAACATACAAACATTTTGTTTCGTTTGGAGTTTAGGGTTCTAGTGCACAGGCGCTAATGAAATATTTAAGTTGGCGCCTGGTAGATAGTACCGGTGACCCCAGAGCTGGTGCTTTCCTCGCTCAATGAATAAGTATCTCAATACAATGAGAAAATGCTGCCACAATGCCACACTATTTTTTTTTTTTAAATTAATTATTACTATGTAGGTTAAGAACTTTGAAAATACTGTATATTTGTGTAAACATACGTTTAACGAACTGGTCTATTATAACTTCGTCTTTACCGATTTGAAAAAACAGTATATAATTCCGCAACTATGCAGGAAAATATACTAATATAAAGATATGGGTAATCAATCTTTGTTCACAAAAAAGCAATAGTTATATTTTGTATCAAATTATTGACATTAATTTATTCGAGTTTTGCTTTTAAAACAGGTTTTCCTGTTAGATATCAAATTAGAAACAAAATCTTTAAAATTGTATCATATTTTAATTTCTATACTTAAACGAAGATAACTGTTAGCAATTATTAGTAGTCCAAATTTAATATCATAAATTACTTTTAACTTTAAGTAAAATAAAATAACAATTACGGATAAAAATGGCGACACTACTAAAGCAATTTCTTCGAGACATAATTTGTTATTTAAATCGCTTTAGAAATGACTTCACAAACCAAACGAAAATCATGCAAAATACTTTGACCTTATTCTTAAATATAAAAATCATAATCTACTTGTGATGTCAATAAGGATACAATAAATATTTTATTAATCGAAAAGGTCGTACTTTTGGTGTTACTCGTATTTAAAATGTCAAAGAATCAAAAATAACTTTTGCATTGGAATTTGTTCGAAACTTTTAATTTATTGGTTTCATATTCGGGATTTGTTTTAAACTTTTAACTTGTTGGTCTCATATTTTATGAAATGAATCACAAATAGTTCTTTTAGTATTATATCGACCAATACCACTTGCACACATTTCTCAAAATATTTTAAATACGAATAAACTCAGTGATAATGTAGCAGCACTGAAAGAATTTCTGAAATCGATCAAGTAGTTTTTGAGTTTATTCGTTACAATTTACAAATATACAAATCTCCATAAGATTAGTATAAATATAATTTAAATTAACACAATCCCGACTGCATTGTATTAGAACATAGTTATGCAACCATTAGTACAGACAATTCAATAATTTATTGAGTTATGGACACAATGCGTCATTATTCGAAGAAGATTTTATAATGAAGAACAAAAATAACAAGTTAATAATGCAGTTAATAAAATTAATAATTTTACAACAAGCAAAAAACATTAAAGGTATGGGAATAATCTACAAGCAGAGTGTGAAGACAATATTCTAAGCTAGTGTCAAGACAAGGAAATAAAGCTAAATAATTTTTATGGCTATTGTAAAGAATCGCCGAGAGCCCGAGAAGTCGTATCAGTATAGCCGCCACTAGCGAGATTCATTCACTCTGGGCCCTTACTCTTTAACTTCCATCAAATACCGACAGCAATTCTGATGCCAAGATTACGACATCAGCGGTACGGATATTGAGAGATCTACATCGAAAAGCCTCGGAAAGAGCTATGAGCGGCAAGTTACTGAGTACGGGCGCAGGCAAGGCAAGTTTTCACAGCCGCCATTAAAGCGAATACATTGAATAAGGAACACGCTTTGTACTATAAACATAGAGGAATTTTAATAATAAATGTTAGTTGAATAAAAACTTGTTCCTTACGAAAGTGTTTGGACATTAATTGAATAGATATTTTGAGTGAATAATAAACATCCGTTTCTTATATTCATAAATATCAAGAGATATTAAGTGCACAAACAATTAAATCATCCGATCGAACTTAGGTTTATTTTTTAATAGTTTTCCACGCAAGGTTCAGGCTATTCAAATTGTATATCGTAAGATAAGAACAGTATTAGATTTCTAAATCATTTGTTTTTCTAATAGGTAAGTATGTGATCAGCGTGCTGTTCCTGTCACACACCGCCGTTTTTTGATTTTGTTATTACCCTTAGTCATCAAATTCGTCGATGTATATAAGGTTTTGTAAGGCAAAATAATTAATGAAATAAATGCAAAATTCTGAGATCAAGATACATAAAGTGTAGCGCCTTATTAAAAACTTGAGCTCGCGTAATACTTTTCCTAAAAATAACTAATTTGACTCAACTTATTTAAGACGACAGAGCATTGATTGGAATAAAAATGACTATTAATATAAAAAAACAATTCATGCTCAGACGATCAAAATGCCCGGTTGGCATATTATTGCAAAGGGATAGAAAACAGGTTGCCAATGGATTTATAGTAGGAGCAAATCATATTTATGTGACCAAATTCCAAATTCAAATTAAATATCTAAATCAATTAGAAACAAAAAAATGCCGTTGAATTTTTACTTGATTTCAGTCGAAAGATTTTTAAAAACGTATTAATTATTTAACTGCCGCCAAATATTGATTTTAACCGTGCCGTATGAAACAAAAGTTTTTACGTTAATAGAGCTATTTTGATAGTTGTTCACTAAGTTTATAGACAAGATCATACGCGCTCAGTGTCTGAAAGAAATAACCAAAAACCTTGTAGTTTAAGGGCCTTATCATACTAGCGGATTGAGAGGGGCTGCGGGGCAGGACGGGCGCGCAGCGAATCCGTCGTGGCTCATGCGTCCGAGATTTTTTTTGTTTGTTATTTGTTTCAATTGTGATATTTAAACGACTTGATTATATATTAATTCTCAAATTCTGTCTAATATAGTTGAATCAGAACTTTTTCCATATCCGACATCAACAAATATGTACTTGTAGTTGGACTCGCAGGCGGTTTTCCCAGTCTTCTGTTTTCTTGGGTGGCATACAAATATGAAACAAGTTTTTAGTAATAGCTTGACATGTCTCGCGAACAAATTTTTTGTATTGTAGAAAATTCATTTTGTAACTGAATGTATTGTACGTCGTTAACTCGTTGTGCATGCGCGGCACAGCCGCGGCGTCTTCGCAACGTATTCGCTGCATGCCCGCTCCGCCCCGAAGCCACTCTCAATCCGCTGGTATGTTAAGGCCCTTATTTATCCAACCGTGTTTACAAATATAACTTTTTTAAAGAACAACGATTCTTTAATCCTTTTGATGATCTTAATCATTATAATAGGCTATGTTTTGATTAATAATAATGATAAACCGTACAGCTAGAACCCTATATGAGTTAGGCCACAGATGTTATCAGACCACCATTTCTGGGTTCAAATGCTTAAGTCGCTTGGTCATTTGAATTCTTTATCGACAACATACTTTTAAAATTTAAATTTCACTTACATTTTCAAAGTAATATAACAATGTCCAAACACTTATATGAGAATTAGTAACAAAAGAGCAGTACCTGATAGCGATAGTGAGGGATCTCTGGTGGGATATAACTCACGTGTCCGAACTTATGATAGATGAGGAAATCTTCCTCAGACTGAGATATGTCGGTCCCGCGCCAGCGCGAGAAGCGCGAACGGAACGCGTCAGCCACAGAGGACGTTGATCCCGTGCAGTTTACCAGAATCAGACCTGTTACAGAAATCTATATAAAACTAGCTGACCCGGCAAACTTTTGTTATGTCATGTAACCAGTTATGCTGGTTTATGAATGCAAAATAATCTTATGTTAGAGATCAATTTTTGGTACAAAACTGGTAATCTCTTTTTTTGATGTGAAACATCTATAGCCGCACGTAAAACCGATTTCTGGCGTGGCGACACATGCCGTGGCGACGCGTCGCCACGCTATATGATGTATATATACAGTCTAAATGCAGTAGTGTGTACGGTGTGTGTATTCCGAAGTCACTGATTAAACGAATTAAGTAATCACGATTTGAAATAAATGCGTAAATTTTTGTATTTAATGAAAATAAATGTTTATTCAATTAATTTATTTATTAATTTATTTTATCATTATGACATATTTAGTTCCTATTACAATCTGTTCTTTTCTGCATATTACTTTTACAAAATAATGTTAATGTTTCACATCTGCCAGGCGTCCCGTGACGGCTCACATTTTTTTTTATTAGTAAGGTTGCATTAATACTTTCGGCTGACTGACTAAACCAGTTAGACATTTAATAAGAATATCGAACAGGTACATTTTTCTAAAAGGTCACATTTTCACGTCATTTAATTAACCAAACAATTAAATATTTGGGTACAATTTTTTTTATTCTACTACTTAGGTGAATTGTGTTTTATCATTTTTATAATTTAAAATAAAGAATTTTTAATAAATTTATTAAATATAATATAGAATATAATGTAATATAATAAGACCATATATATCTAAAACCTTAAAGGCCGGCAACGCACTCGCAACCTATCTGGGAGAGTGAGTATCCATAGGCGGCGTCAGTTATTATCGGGTATACCTATATATAGGTAGGAAATTAAAGAAATTACTATGAATTAAACTTAATTGTCCAAGACATTGAGTCAAATTTGGTTTTTTCTTGAACAAACCTAGAAGGCGTCTAGGATGAGCTTGTCCACAGCGAGCCAGGATATTGGCCCCTGCCCCTTCACCAAGGCCGACAGCATAACGCACTTGGAGGAAGTCCAGAACCGTGACCATATCCTCGCCTAATGTCTGCAGTGACGGAAACGGGTACCTGAAAGAGAAATTGGATATTTTGAGAGCGTATCGTCTCATAAAAGGTGAAAGAGACAGACAATGCAAAACATTAGAGTCTCAAGAGACTTCTGACAGAGTAAATATCCCTGGGGGACAGTATCATCCCGTCTACTTACTGAGTTCGGAACATAGTTTTCGCTTCGTCGCTTTATGTACTACCTCTAATTTTTTGAAGTGAAACTTCTTTAGGCGCATGAGGGTAGTTTTTAAAAAACGTCACGAAGATGTGCAGCGTTTTGTCGAAGAAAAGGGATTTAGCGAGCGATTGAGACCGATTGAGAGAGAGTGAGAAGGGTGAAGTACCATATAAAATACTATTTTTAAAATTAAGAATTTATTAGAGAATTTGTGGAATATTATTAGTATTTTATATTTTATGCAAAATAACTTATCGAAATCTCAAATGACGAATTGTAAATTAAAATGGCACGTGTTATACTATCGAAGATATAAATTTAAAAAAAATTAAGTTTATATTTTGTATTAATTTTCAAGACTTTTAATATTTGAATGACAATTAAAATCATTAAATTCCTAACATATCTTTCTTTTTCCCTCGTTAGAGGGAGTCTCGGAAATCTATAGTTTTAGATTTGTAAAAATATGAACAAGACAAAATTAGTTTGCCAAAGAAGTTTCACTTCTGACATGTTTACTTTGTACGCACGCACTTTTTTATGTAATAAGAGGCAAACGGTCAGGAGGCTCATCTGATTTTAAGTAATGCCGCCCATGGATACTTACATTGCCAGAAGGCTCGCAAGTGCGTTGCCGGCCTTTTAATAATTGGTACGCTCTTTTCTTGAATGACCCTAAGTCGAATTGGTTCGGAAATACTTCAGTGTTCTCCTGGTTCCACATAGTGATGGTGCGCGTAAAAAACTGCCTTAAGAAACGCTCAGTTGTGGAATGACGGCCGTTGAGGTGTTACGGATGGTTTTTGTATTCTGCCTTGACGTCCGATAAAGAAACTCAGCTGCAGGTATTAGTCCGAACAACTACTCTGAACACTCTCCATGGTAAATGCGGTAAAAGAAGCAGAGAGATCCCACATCTCTACGCAACGCCAAGGGATCAAGCCGCTCGGAAAGTGACTGGTAGTCGATGATTCGTAACTCATCTCTCAATTAAAAACATAAATATAACTTCTGCTTACGATTCTGGTAGGTCTGGTGAGTTTTCTTCATGCCCCGGAACATCAACGTGAATAAAACACGATCGCTCCTTTATTTCCGTCATAGCTGGACAATTCACGAAGTCAACCATTGATGTATCTGGAACATTACATATTAAATGGCTATCAAACTATTTTATCACCTTCCTAGAAATTATAGATCACTGCCGTAATGCTTTCAAAGGGAAAGTTTAAAGCAAGCCTTTACAGCGCGGGAGCGTATTTAGACCATAAGTTTTGACAACAATTATATTCACTGTGATATGATGATTAATTTGCATGCCTATTTTTGTATGGCTGATTGTGCGTTGTTTTTATAATTAATCAATCTGAATATACCACTTTCTTTGTAAATAAACGATAAATTATTTAAAAATCGAATCTTTTGTGATTTTAGATATGTTATGTATGCTTGCAGTCGATTTTTTTAAATAGTTTATTAAATTCGCGGGATTGTCCCGCTGCATCTTAAATTGTTGATACGAATCCGGGGAAGGTCGCTAGCAATGAATATAACTTACGATTCGTCCCAAGGTCATGAACTGTGAGGAAAACACATCTTTTATCTTGCTGGCTCAAGTCACCCTGAAAAGTAATTAACGAATATAATGTAATGTATTATCAATAAGTAATAAATATTTAATTATATATCTTAGTCATATTATGTTTATTATTATTAATTTAACGTTAGCAAAGTTGTTTATACAATTAAAACAAATACTCACTGGACTATGAGCTGGAATAATTCCCTTTGGTAGCGTAAAATAAAGCGTTATTATTATAAACAAAAATCTATTTTTTGACTCAAACTCAAACTACAGCCTGCGGTCTTACACCGAAATTTTGATAAAAATTCAGTATCTAACTCAAACTTAACAAACTATTGCTTGTATACCACATACCACCACTCGCTTCATCGGCGATATAGATATTGAAAGAGGTGCATTAAAAGTGGATTTGCACCAAACTGTTGGATTGGTCGCTTTGTTAGCAACTCATATTCAACCAAATATTACGAAACGGAAAACGTTTATGAACCAACCTCCATTTTTTTAAAGTCATTTTTCAATTAATAGTCTTTGGATTTTTCAAACTTTTAACTGTCAGCTCTGGTCAATTTAAGAGAGGTGACTAAAATTAGCATTCAAAACTGTCTTCTAAAAAAAATGTTTTTTATTGTGTAGTGTTCTTGAAAAGCCTACAAATTGTAATCATATTTTCTTGGCGAGTAAACAAAAAGATCAGTAATTAAACAAGTACCAACAATATTTTCTTAAATAAACGTTGTCTGTTTCGTGAAAACACAAATGGTATCTTGGCATTTAATTCTTTATTGTGTAAGATGTTTTCCTTCCGATATCACTCGCCATCACATAGCTTAGTAAATTTGTTGCAATTCTTGTTTATATATTAATAAAACGTTTATTTTTTTGTCATTGTATTCCTAAAACCCTCCTTAGAATGCTAAACGAAAGACAAAGTCATTAATTTAGCGTTGCACGTTCGATTGTCAATTGTCAAAAGTGACAGAAGCGTGATTCTTTCGGTTGGTTGTGATTGGTCAACTACACGTCTAGTCCCATCACAGACATATTTCATCCTGCGTTAGACCAATCACAATCAAAAATTATATTTATAAACAAAAATCTAATGAAGATTGTACGCCGTAATAACGCAGTTAACAGATATATCTTCAAAAATAGTTTACAGTAGTGACATTATATATCCAGTATAAGAATTTGTAATTGTAGTAATAAATATATATACCTCTTTTTATAAGGAATTTTATTGCATTACGCTCATGTGCTCATGTTTAATGACAGTGTGTATATACTTTTATAAATAAATTAAATAGATACCTGAACGTGAACATGAATATCTCCACTCCGGTCCGTACTGACAACATATTTCTGAAACAAACAATACAAAATATTAGAGTTTTAAAATAAGACCATTATTATGAAATATAAATTAAACTTTGATGACAATTTGTATAAATATGATATCATAAAGTATTAATAAAAACAAACATATATTTAAATTTCGATATGTAGAAATAAATAATTTATGTCCGTTTTAATTACTCGAATTTATCAAACATTCTTGAACTAACAAATACAGCAACTACACGCTATTATAAATAGCCACTCAAAAGCAAATTGAGTTGTCGGAAGTTTGCTAGCCTAACCCCATTACGATTTACGGCTTGTATACTGTTTAAAATAAACGCTCCGTCTATATAATCAAGTCATAAAAAACATAGAAAAATCTAATTATTACAAAAGATTCTTAGATTTAAAACGTGCCAGTGCCGTTTTTGTATGCAATTTCGATGTTCTCTTAATATCCGTAACGCTGATGTCGCAACCTTGATTGTTTATCATCACTGAAAACGGGATCATTATATATTAATATATTTTTAATACAAATAAAGAACGGACCGTAACCACCTTCTGGTTTCTTCTATCTATGTTTGCCATAGTCATTTTGTATGATGATTTAATATTTTAAAAGAGTACCGAGAGTTTTATACGCCGGCTTTTTCTCTGTGCCTACACCCTCTATCTTCTTTGCCGATGAGTAGGGATTTAATGACGTGGAATAAGTGATACCTGTATCTTATATTCCATAATAAACATATTTTATGTTTTATTTTATTTTATAGTTATAGAGTCCAGCGCAGTTCCTTGAGATGTTTTGCTTCACCTAGCGAGCAAATATCGTCGACAAATATATTAGTAATACTAAAATTACCCCATTTCCATTATCCGGCGTACGGAAAATATTGATTAAAATTTTACATTATAATGATTTTCGGAACTAAACGGAAGCATATTGATTTCCTGTATTTAACATTTTATACGAATATTAAGTTACATAAATTTACAAAATCTTTTATTAATGGCTTGTGTTGTATATTATAGGAGATCTTAATATCTGCTATATAATATTCATATTAAACAAAAACAGAGCTTAAACAGCATAAATGTATCTTATATTCTTTCCTGTAAAACAAAACTCGTTTGTTTTCCGTCTATTTCCGTACGCGGTGCAAGCGTTGCGTTTTCAGTCGTAAACAATTTAAAGGTCACCTAATGCTTGTTTTGAGTACAAAAACTGTTATAAAAACAGCGTTTTACATACTACAGTCGACTCCCGATACTTTGAAATTCAAGGGACATATCAAAGATACTTTATTTCTCAAAGAATTACATTCACTTAGCGAGAAAATTTAGAGTAAGCTAGTTATGTACATCGTGTTATGAATTTGTTTGAAAATAAACTAAAACTAGTGAATAGAAATCATTTCTTAGACGCTCGTTCACAGACAAGTCAATGCTAGAAGGGCCTTTTTTATGTTTTGTAAATACTTAATTATTCCATTAATTTATATTAAAGTTTTACGATTTTTACTGACACAGATATAGAATATGTGTGTTTTTATTTTCGTTATGTTATAGGTATGTTGTTTTTATATGTACTTTTAAAAGTTTTTTTAAATTTGTAAAAAGGTTTTATTTCTTTTAAACTAGATGGTAATGTATAAAATATTTGTGTGCCTTACATAATATTAAGTTTTCCGTAATTAGTCCTTGGTTGTATTATGTCATATACTTGAGAAGAAGTATCGCGTTTACACACACGTCCTGTCCACTTCCCTGCCCACTACGGCTTAATGTAAATGCGGCATTAAACATATACATTTCAAATTATTAAGAGTTCAACATTTGAATAACGACGGGGGGACGACTCAAGTAAATAAGAAAAATATTTCGAAAAAATATATTTTTATGATTTTTGTAAAAGTTTTTATAATAATTTCGTTCAAATATCCAATAATCGAATAAAAAAGGATATACCTAAAGTAACTTATTTAACCAATAAAGCAAGAATTTACATACAAAACAATACACATACATATATAAAAGAAACAACAAAAATACGACACTTAACAGTAAAATATTAAAATATTTACAAATATCTACCACTTGGTATATAACTGACAAAAACAAACCTTTTGCCAATACACACAGCGGACAAAGAGGTCCGGTTATGTATGAAGTTCGTTATTTCAATGCCTTGTCTCTTACCCCTTGTCAAAAGGCACCCAGGCACCCAGAGGCTAGGCACTGGAGCACTGTCATTTAATAACTAAGAATACTCGTGTAGGTAAAAAATATCTTAGAACGTTAATGAATATTTGCAGAATATATACGTTGATCTCGTATATAGGAGATGTTGACATCATGACCCATATGCATGCATATCATTTAGGTTTATAGATAAGGAATAGCTCCGTATATCTCAGTACCTGTAGCGATTCAATTTCTTTCTTTGTAAATAAAAGGGGGCAAACGGGCAGGAGGCTCGTCTGATGTTAAGTGATACCACCGCCCATGGACACTCTCAATGCACGAGGGGTCGCGAGTGCGTTGCCGGCCTTTATACGATTGATAATGTTTAAGGAATTAATATTGGTGACTGAAGGGCTACAGCTCAGTATACTTTCTTTAAATACTTTACAAACTAAAGCATTAGGAAACAATTAAAAAATACAATCAAGACAAAAACGAAACGAAATCAGTGATCGCAGTAGATACTAAATAATATAGCATCTAACTTTCTTAAATTGATTGAACCTAGCAATCACATCCCAGGTTGACCAAATTACCGGAAATACAAGAATTTTCGGGTGTTGTTTTAAAATTTGAGGGTAAACAATTATCAAGGCGTGTAACAATATATTAGGTTCTTCATATACAGTCAAAACCGTTTAGAACAACATACCGGTTATATTGACCAAAATCAAATTCTATTGTATTGGTGTACAACGTCATCGGCTGTTACGACTATAGGTTTTTACGACCTTAATACATATTAATGCTTCTAATTTTACATTTAGTGCCAGTTCTCAAATCAAGGGCGTAGAACGGAAGAGAAGAACTGGCAATAAACTCTCCGCCACTCTTTTTAATAGCCATGTTTTTTTTGATACACAACGTTTGTAAGGAGCTGCAACCATTACACCATGTTCCACATGACATCTTCGATGTCGTTATAACAAATTTTGACTGTACAATGTACATTATTTGCGCGGACTGTCAGAAGTTATAAATATATCCTAGTTTGGATAAATGTTCTCCAAATTCTGTTTTCGCAGGAACAAAGATTTTTATCAAAAATCGATGTTCGACTGGTGTAGGGTTATGATCATAATTATATAATATGTGCGCACATGTTATATAATTATGATCATAAATTATCGTGATTCATGTGCACTTTTTACTTTTTATGTATCCTTTATTAGTTTAGTTTGTGCTTTTGTTCCTGTTTAGTTTTTTTCTAAATATGTATTTTTTTACTTCTTGTCTACCTTATCTAATTTAATACATTTTTTTCTCTCACTGTGGTTGCCTGGAAGAGATCGCTCGAAAGCGATAAGGCCGCCAGTTGCCCTCCTTTTCATTTAATTATGTTAAATTTTTATATTGTATTGCTACGAAGTGTAAATAAATAAAATATTATGTGGTTGCAGGGCCAATGGCTTATTATTTATTCATATAGATGATTCTTCAGGTGATACAAGTTTCTTTAGTATTTACAGTTGAGTTTTGAACACAAACGATCGTTAAATTTATAACTGTAGTCGAATTGTTTACTAACACATTTTGTTTTGATGAAAGCGAATACTCTGCGTCATTATATTATTTATGACCGCTGATGTTTTTCGCTGCATAAATTTTGTATTTTACACTTTCGATACTTACAGTACAAGTATAACAAAACATAGATTCAAGATCAAAATTGTAATTTAAAAAATAAATGTATTAACTTTGATATGAAATTAAGTATTTTAATTTATTTTATACGTTTATTTATATATAATAAATACGTATATTAAATATAAACGGCTCAAACATAAGATTGTTTCCTCCAACTTTGAATTTGTTCCCTTTGGAGTAGAGACTCTTGGGCCGTAGGTTTCAAGTGCACAGACGCTAATTAAAGATTTAAGTTGGCGCCTGGTAGATAGTACCGGTGGCCCCAGAGCTGGTGCTTTCCTCGCTCAATGTTTTTTTTAAACAATTTTATTATATGTATTACAATATTATTTATATACGATAAGGGGGCACACGATTATATGGGACACCCATAAACGGCTGTCATTGTTGCCCATAGACACCGATTTAAGTTGGTGCGTTGCCGGCCCTTCAGGGAGGAGTAAGCTCTCTTTTTAAACAATGGGAGGTCCCAGGGAAGACTCCCACCGGGAGTCAATTCCGCAGTTCGCAATTAAAGAGTTGGTTTTGTGCGTGTGTGTCCCTCATGCCTATTTAGTTACAACTTCAGAGTAACACTGTCGACTACACAAACAAGTTTAAAAATAACTAACAATGACATAATTACTTCCTAAACGTACACTTGGCATTGGAGTTCACCCACACCATGCATTTTATCTAAGTAAGGGGGTCAATTAATATGACACGACATCAGGGTTCCCAGTAATGAATTGCAGTTATGAGCGTCTCGATTACTTCAAGGTCCATTGAGAACTGTCGATACAGGGTAATATCAATCATAGGAAAAACAATTATATTACATTATATCTTCTATAGCGAATAGCCGAAATAACATTTGACTATACATATAGTTTTTTGTTTTCATAATTAGGTTACTTTATCATGATTGAATTGACTGGAAGGTTATTTATTTTGAACTACAAGTTACTGGTATATTGATGTGAAATAATAATTCAATATTTTTCAGAGCCTATATAACGTTTAATGTCAAACAATCTAGATAATTATAATTGCCGTCTATCGTCCAAAATAAATAATGCATCCTTTGATAGATCTTAGATAGAATCTTAGATCTATCTAAATTAGAATCCTAGATAAATTATAAAAAATCTTGGATTGATTCATATGTAATGATCGATCACGAATCTGTTTAGCAATATAACATTGCAATCTCGATGAAAGATTGCAATCTTTTGCGTGATCCTTTTCTCTCGACGGTATCGTTCTATGCAATATGTTTGTTCAGGTATACTGAAAGATTATTGTTTTTGGAAGGTAATATATGTAAGACTATGTAACTATAGTTACAAATATTTTCTATATTGCCTGCCTCTATTGCCTGAATCTATAAATTGAGGATATCAAATTAAATACATTATCTAATAATATAAATGCGTATGCAACCTTGATGATATCAATTTTTTTGTATATTTTAACAATCCACTTACCACTAAAATTATCAGTCGAAAAAGTTATATAATAAATATTTTATTTACAAATTACAATCCCTTTAACTATGATCGCCTCAATTTATATACACCAATTAAAATTTTGAATATTACTTAATTTAAAAAAGGGTCTAAATTCAATTTACTCATAAAATAAACTTTATCGTACTCCTTATATAAGTATTTACTGATACCACATATATATTTTCTCATATCTAGGTTATTTTAAATAAAAATATTTACACTAACCTGAACCAACTTCTCGTCAGTCTCCGTCATGGTTAAATAAAACACAAGCGTTTAGCGAGAATGCTCCCGATGCAATGGAATTGGGAGCGAGATATAGAAATATTTCAATTCTAGATCGGGAATCGCTTAAACGCCTCGTCCCGTTGAAAGTTTTATCCAAAACCGAAATACTTAAGCGTCTAAATTAGCAGTTCAATGGTATTTGAAAGTCTTATTTTAAAAAAATACAACGTACAATAATACGTCCAATTTGTTCGTGTATAGATAAAAAATTCAATAAAACAAATTTAGGTCCCCTGGTCCCTGTGGCAGTGTACCTTTAAAGCTAGCAGTATTTCCTCACTGTACTGTGATACTTATTCGTTATATTTTAAAAATGGAAATTAAAACTTGACTTTGTAGGACTTCCGACTTTAAAAAAATTGAAAACGACCATAGAAGCATTGTATTGCTACCGAATGATGGTATGTTACGGTATGATAAGAATCAACTTCCGTTATCAAATGTCATTAACTCCTACTATGATTAATAGTATACTATCATAGCAAAACCTTTTTGAGGTTGCATCTCCGATTGAAGACCCCCATAGGGAATCGGTTCCAAAGTTATCTAGTTCGCAAAAGAAAATGTGTACAGAAGCGGACCGTGCAAGACCCCAGCCATCAAGGTGATGTAGATGCAATTTGGAGTTAATACGGCTCGTACGGTGATGGAAGAACACTCATAGTATACTTTGTAGAAACCATAGAGATAGAAAATCAAGCCGTTCACTAATACATTGTACATTGACAAGCCCTTCGCTGAATTTGGTCAAAAAGAAGAAGCTGGTATTTAGAACCACCAACCTAGAGTTGTAAGTAGTATTTCATGAGGTCGTAATTCGAAGTGGCTATAATTTTATATATAAAAAAAAAACGTGTGCCACTCGGGGACTGCCGCGGTAAAGCTATTGCTTTGCATTTTTTAATCAACTTATGCAATTATAATTATTTATTTATTTTTTAATTATGCAGTATTTCTTTTTTCTTTGATATTATTTCAATCTACAACTCTACCAGACTCAGACTAAAACGCCTATATAGTCTGTCTCACTCTAACGCGTACCGGCTGCACCGGCCGCGCTCGCTCCGTCACCGATCTCGTCAGAGAGATGGGAATGCGCAGTATGCGTTCTGTCCCACTCTAACGCGTATTTGCCGCACCTATATTACTACGTCATCGTGTGTGAGGTTGTTTTCGTTACGGAATTTCTTGATTCGGTCGCCGCGCTCAAAGCCCGCGATAAAATCTATGCAATAGCTTAAAAAAGTTTTTATATGTATATAAAATTATAGCCGAAGTGGCTATAATTTTAATCTTTGCCTCTTTATCCTTCTGGGTAACATTATTGTTTAGCTTACATGCTCATCCAAAACACAAACGCCAAACGCGTTTTTTTATCATGTATGTTTTTGGTAACTAATTGTACATAAATAAATACATATATAAATAAACATGACGCTTAAATTTCACTATTGAACCCACTCCTTTGATAGCAATATAGTAATTTTCGATTTTCAGAGGCATAAAAATTAAGTTAGCCAACTACCAAAAATATTCACCGTGTCAGCTAAAACTTCTATAAAAACTTATATAAGAATTAAGCAGTTTTTCTATTTCCCACATTAACATATTATATATTTTCTTATTCTAACTTTTAAATTTTTATACTTATTAATTTCAACAGAAAAATGGTTATTGAGAGAGATCAGAGTACAAACATCGGAAACTGATCAATGCAATCATACACAACTAGGGGAATGGGTAATTGCTAAGACCTTCTTATCTAGGCTACTTGTACTTGTCAATCCATTTATCACTAAAAAGGTGACCTTGGCACCTAATTGCAATTTTTAGGAATGATATAAAATTTAAAATATAAATTTATATAAGTTTAAAAATATAATTTATAAAAGTAATACCAAAGATTATCTATGTGTGAATAATATTATTTTGAAGGTCACTTTAAAATATCTTGTATTTAAAATTATAAATTCATTTTTACTGCTCGCCTTTATTTTCGAAAGAAATGAAAACCTTCGAAAAGAGTTAGAAAAGAGTTACATTCATAAAGCCTTGACTGAATATTTATTCACAAAAAAATTTACATACACTATCCTTACAGTACTAAATCAATACGATAATGTCGAAAAAAACCAAAGAAAGTATAATGAAATATATATATACTACTATTAGGAAACACAAAAGATTAGAACGTGTAGGTACTCCAGACTTTTCAAATCTACTGAGGTTAGGTTAGTAACAAGTCCGTTCCGCACGAAGTCTCGAAATAAAAGTGAGTCAACGCCGGTGTTGCCACGCTTTATATAGGTTTCTGCTACAAAATGGCGTTAGTCCGCTAACACGGCCTCTCCTGACACCCTGACGTCCTCGTCAGGATTTGATGTCCAGCGTCTATACTGTCATCTCTGTGGGTTGAATAGAACGTTAGAACATTACAATTCTGGGAAGGTATTGCGTCGTCTATTTGGTCAGCAACTGAACATATTTACTTGGTTTAATACAAACAATCAAAGTAATGAAAGATAGAAAGGAACTTTAAAGTATCAGACTCCAAGGAATGAGTGAAAGATTATTCATAACCCTTACAAGATTTGAAACAAACTATCACTTTCATGTGTAAAGGACTTGTGTAAACAATCACAAGTTTAGTATCACCATAAGAGTAGATATAAGGTATAAAGGTCTACTTATTTCTCAAGAAGATCGTGAGTTTGGGGCTGGTTACCCTGTCCATTGATCTTTTTACCATTCATAAAGGAAGATCTTGAGTTTGAGGCTGGTTACCCTGTCCATTGATCTTTTTACCATTCATACAGGAAGATCTTGAGTTTGAGGCTAGTTACCCTGTCCATTGATCTTTTTACCATTAATACAAAAATATCGTGAGTTTGGGGCTGGTTACCCTGTCCATTGATCTTGTTACCATTTATACAGGAAGATCGTGAGTTTGGGGCTGGTTACCCTGTCCATTGATCTTTTTACCATTTATACAGGAAGATTGTGAGTTTGGGGCTGGTTACCCTGTCCATTGATCTTGTTACCATTTATACAGGAAGATCGTGAGTTTGGGGCTGGTTACCCTGTCCATTGATCTTTTTACAATTTATACAGGAAGATCGTGAGTTCGGGACTGGTTACCCTGTCCATTGATCTTTTTACCATTTATACAGGAAGATCGTGAGTTTGGGGCTGGTTACCCTGTCCATTGATCTTTCAAAAAGCAAATATTACAGAATTAGATAGCTTCAGACTTAACACAAAGAAAGATAAAACTCAGTATATTTGCAATACACCGTCGTATCGACAGTGGCTCCTAGTGCTCTCATAAGCGACAATTTTTTAAAACAGAGACTCACACATTTTGCATGTTCTCTAAGTGGTCTAAACACATTAGCACCAGAAAAACTTAAAACAGAGATCCATACACTTGTATGTTCTCAAAGTGGTCTAAACACATTAGCACCACAAAAATTTAAAACAGAAACCCATACCTTTGCATGTTCTTAATAACAAAGACCAGATCATCCTTCTGGAATTTACAAGGGGGGTCTACGACCCACATAAACGACAGTGTCCTGATTGATTTCACTGTTCTTCAACCGTTCGGCCGTCCTCTGTCAAAGCATCTCTCGTCTACCTTGCTGACTAGACGATCTCGAATTTAATGCAACACAAACAACATTTTAACACAAAGAGCACTTTTAAAATGTTAATCACTTGTGACTTCGTACAATCCGGACACAAAGAGAAGGAAAATTTAAACCACAAAGATTACTCAAAACAAAACAAAAGAGAAGTGAGCGAAAAGTTCAAATCCCACTTCTGATATTAGGAAACACAAAAGATTAGAACGTGTAGGTACTCCAGACTTTTCAAATCTACTGAGGTTAGGTTAGTAACAAGTCCGTTCCGCACGAAGTCTCGAAATAAAAGTGAGTCAACGCCGGTGTTGCCACGCTTTATATAGGTTTCTGCTACAAAATGGCGTTAGTCCGCTAACACTACTATATATATTATATAATACTAGCGGATCCGACAGACGTCCTGTACACACGTCTTACATACAAAAAAATATCTAATAATGTAAATCATTCTCGACTCCACTTGAACACAAAGTTTCATCAAAATCAATGTATTCAAAATATTGAAAACTATTATACTATATATTTTAAAAGAGTACCTAAGTATGGAGTTTCTTGCCCATTCTTCTCCATATGAAACTACCTTTTGGAAGGGGCAACTAGAGTATTTTTTTCCTTGTGCCTTTTATAATAGGCCTAATTGAAATTTGTATCACTCAATACTTGGCGATAAAAAAGAGTGGCGGAAAGTTTCTTGTCAGTTCTTTTTACCCGCTCTACGCCCTTGACTTGCGAACTGGTAGTAAATGTAAATTTACAATAAATTTCACTTCTTTTTACCTTTATGAATTAAGATAAATTTGAGTTTGAGTTTGAAATAATATTGACTTTTGTTGTTGCCCTTAGAAGCACAAATCCCATTCGGTACTAATTTTCTCCGACATAAAGATGTTCTATTGATAAACAATGAATCAATTTAGAGCGAAGGTCTAGCACAATGAAAGTACAAATATAACTAAAGTGGTTTCTGCAATCAAGTAATTACATTGGGAATATGAGCGGTTGAGCGTTGGCGATTTGCTTATTCGCCGATGAACCTCTGTTTTAACTTGCTCATGTCCCTGTTCTCCTGGTAGTAGTAGTATTTTTTATTGTATTTTTTTTCAAAACTGCGAATGTTTGCCCCTGTCCCTTTGAATAGTGAAGAGACTACAGTTTTACTCAACTAAGTAGGAGTTCCACTCTCGTTTAATAAATCGGTATTCATTTTCAGAATATGCAAACTTTATATTGTACCAACATAACATTTTTTTCAAATAAATTCTTTAAATATTAATTCAATTCCAAACTTAATCAAACAATCAATCTTTAGAATATAAAACACGT